TCCCTTCCAGCTCTTTCTTCTCTCTCTTCTGCTCTCACCATGCAACATGCCATCTCCCCTTACTTTTCCTTTTTTTTTTTGAGTTGGAGTCTCACTCTGTCGATCAGACTGGAGTGCAGTGGTGGCTCCCGGCCACTGCAGCCTCGACTTGCTGGGGTCCGGTGATCCTTCAGCCACAGCCTTCCAAGTAGCCGGAATTACACGCATGCGCTACCACGCCTGGCTGATTTTTTGCTTTATTGTAGAGATGAGGTCTCGCTGCCCAGGCGGGTCTTGAACCCGTGGGCTCAGGCAATCCACTCACCTCAGCCTCCCAAAGGCGTGGGATTACAGGCTGAGCCACCGAGCCCGGCTCTGAGTGTGGATTTCTATGTGTTTACCTCATTTTATGTTTTCTGTGCTTCTTGAGTCAGTAGTTTTATGTCTCCACCAGGTTTAGAAGTTTTTGGCCATTATTTCTTGCAGTATTTTTCCTGCATCACATGCTTTCTCCTTTCCTTCTAGGACTCCAGTGTTAGAACTTTTGGCATCATCCCACAGTCCTGAGGCTCTGTTCCATTTTTTCTCCCTTTTTTCCCCCTTGCTTTTGTTTAAATTGGGTAATTCCTGTTCTGTCTTCAGATTCACTGATGATTTCCTCAGTCATCTTCATATGCTGTTGAGCCCATCTAGTGAGATTCTAAATTTTTTTTTAGATTGGAAAATATTGTTTATTTAGGAAATAAATGAGAGAGAGAGAGAAGTGATTCACCTCTTCAAGGTACAGGAGGGGGTCAAAGCTAAGAAAACACGGTGACCATAGCTCAAAGAACACACGCCCTGGCCAGTGCTTAACAAAACAATGGCCGAGTTTCTAAATTTTAGTTTTTGTATTTTTCTTTTCTGAAATTTGCATTTGTTGTTCTTTGTACCATCTATTCTTTTGTTAAGACTTTCTGTATTTCCATTCATTTGGGGAGTGTTTGCCCTTTCTTATAGGAGCATTTTTATGATAGTCTTTTTCAGATAATTTCAATATGTGTGGCATCTTGTCATTGGCATCTGTTGATTGTCTTTTCCCCTTGAATTGAGGTTTTTCTGGTTCTTTGTATGCTAAATAGTTTGAGATTTTGTATCCTCGAATTATGCAATTCTCTATCTTTAAATTCTATGGGAAATGTTGATATTTTTGTCTCAGCAGGCCTTGACCCAGTGGGTGCAGGCCACAAGTTCCAGCCAGCCTCTGTGGGTTGTGGTTTCGGTGTCAGTTCCCCTTTCAGAGCCTTTGCTGGGCGCTTCAAGCCTGCCCACGTGCAAGCCACTCGCTGGCCAGGCTGGCCTTGGTGGCAGTCTCTCTCCTAGGTCACTTTAAAAGCTTTGGAGTGTTCAGGGTCAGGCCTACCACGTGCAGCTCAGGAGTAAGCCCAGGAGCTCTTCAGCAGCTTCACTTTGAAGAGTTCCTCCCTCTCTGTGATATCTCTGGCACTTCAGCCAGAAAATTGGGGCTTTAGTTACCACATTACGCTGCACACTTCTGTAGCTGTGCCCATGTTTGCAGCTAAGCAATGGGAGGACAAAGGACAGCACAATGCCAGTGGGGCTATTTCCCCTCTCTGGGACCTCAGTCCTTTGGGGGAAAGGAAGTGTCACTTCCCTCGGAATTATAGGTACTTGTCTCACCCCAGAATTGCGTAGGACTGGGAACAAGAGAATGGAGAAGAACCCTGAAGTCTCCTCTCCCTTCTAAGCATCAGAAGACCCCCTTCCTGCTCCTAGAACTAGAACCAAAGGCTTCTTCTGGAGCTCTCTGTTCACACCAGCACCCACTTTGAACTGCAGGCTGAGTTGGAGCCAGGCCACGAGATGCTGGAGGAGAAGGTGGCACACTCAGTGCGGCTGGTGGTACTTTGAGTTCTTGTCTTTCCCCCCATCTGCCTGCTGCTGTTTACTTCGCAGAAGCCTCAAGAGCGGCTTCGTGCCCTCTGCCAGGTGTCAGAGCTATAGGCAGAGAGAGAGGGGGCCTACGTGTCTGTCTACCCTGCCCAGGCTCAGAACTGCCCTCGTCTTAAGATGTACCCGCCAGCCTGGGGTGTGTCACGCTGGGGGGGGTCCCGTGAGCAGGCTTTTGCTGACAGAAGCTTCTGTGTCACTTTCCAGGAGACCCCGACCAAGGAGCTGGGGCCCTGTGGAGGAGAGGCGTGTGGCCCCGGACTGAGTGGCCCAGCGCCGTCCTCAGGCTCGCCCTACCTGAGCAGGTGTATAAACTCCGAGAGTTCCACTGATGAAGAAGGTATTTCACTTTGTCTGTTAGTTTTCAAAGAAACTGAGAAATGGAGTTTTGAATAATGTCAGCACTTTTTGAGGATACCTCCGCATGTCGATGTATTTATTTATTTATTTTTATCTTTTCTTTTTTCTTTGCGTCAGAGCCTCACTGTCTCACCCATGCTGGGGTACAGTGGCACGCTCACAGCCACCACAGTCTCGACCTGCTGGGCTCAGGCGATCCTTCTGCCTCAGCCTCCCAAGTAGCTGGAACTACAGACATGTGCCACCATGCCTGACTGGTTTTTTAATTTATTGTAGAGACGAGGTCTCGCCAAGTTGCCCAGACTGGTCTTGAACCCCTGGGCTCAGGCAATCCTCTCGCCACCACGCCCAGCCGCATGTTGCTTTAAATGACGCCCTTGCAACACGGGTGTGCCCTGCCATCTGCCAGCCAGTGGCATCTGCTGCGCTGCGTGGCACACCTGTGCCGCTCCCCTCTCATCTCTGTCGTGCGATGATAAAGTGAGGGGCTTTGTGTTTGCATTTCTAGGTGGAGGCTTTGAGTGGGATGATGACTTCTCCCCTGATCCTTTTACGTCCAAGACAGCAAGTAACCTTCTCAGCTCCAAGCCCTCTCTTCAGACGTCCAAGTACTTTTCTCCGCCGCCGCCAGCCCGGAGCGGGGAGCAGAGCTGGCCGCACGCAGCGCCCTACTCCAGGTTCTCCATCTCGCCCGCCAATATCGCCAGCTTTTCTCTCACACACCTGACCGACTCCGACATTGAGCAAGGAGGTGAGGGGCTGTGCAATGGGCCGGGTGGAGGGACGGGCTCCACCTGGGGGTCGCTCGGAGAGCTGCTGAGCTGAGGTTTTCTTGGTGTCTGCTGAGCAGGTTGCAAAGTTGTTTTTACCAGACTCCCAGTCTTGACCGTGTGCGCTGAGGGCCATGTCTCCGCCTTAAGTCCTCAGTCACTCCGAGGGCTCATGACTGGGCCTGACAGGAGGCGGGAGACAGTGGGTGGTGGCGTGGCTCTGGGTCGCCAGGAGTCCCCAGGTGTGCTCCATCTCCTCCTCTCCTCCTGGCCTCCCCTCTTGCTACCCTCCCACCCCACTTCTTGCCCAGAGAGAAGCCGCTCTTCGGATGGCTCATGCTCTAAGAGCACCTGTGACTTTGGCACTGAGCCCACACACTCTGGCTCTGCCCCCGGGAATGTTGATTTTGCCATTAAGTCTCAGTCGTGCGATGGCCGAGTCCAGGTGGGAGCGTTTGAAGTGGTGCTGTCTGAGCACGGATCCTTGTCCCCATAACTAGATTGGAAGATAAATGTTAGTAGGTACGGTTTTTGATTTGAAGTTTGCAGATCAAACGCCAAACATGGAATATAAAGGGCTTTTGTTTGTGTTTGCACTGTTTTATTTGTGCCGATTAGATGCTGCCCGTTACCTAAGATCTGCCGGGGCAGATGTATGGACCGAGCCGACTTTTCCCTGCCCTGAGCGCGGCGTCCTGCCACCTGTACGCCGAGCAGATGTGTCTGTCGGGGAGTCCAGAGGCGCTCTTAGAGGAGGAGACAGAGTGGCAGGCAGGGGCTGGGGTCCAGGCACTGGCGGGTCAGTTCCTCCTTCTGCCTCGCAGCTTGGATACCATCCAAACCCTTGTCTGTGACAATTACTTTAAACCCTAGCTTTGTCGCTGCTCCTTCTCTCCCAACAGGAAGCAGCGAGGATGGAGAAAGAGATTAGGTGGCTGCCGACGCTCCCGGGCCAGGCTGCTCCCCAGCGTGGCATTCCTGTGCCCTCAGCTGGAGCAACGACATCCACTCGCCATTTGCCGACGCGAGACGGGAGAGTCAGAGGCGAACAGGGCGGCGGCTGAGCCGTGTTCGATGCGGCCCGCAGAGCCGGTGGGGAGTGAGGCCGCAGCCTCAGCGCGCATCTGCAGCTGCTCTGCACGCTCAGCACTCCGTCGGCATCCTGGGGAGGCCCACGCTGCCTCTGTGTGCGTGTGTGGAACCGGGCGTGTCTGCTGGACACGCGGGTGTCCCTGTGAGCACACCTGCACACCTGATCTGCGCGGGCGCCACAGGGACGCACCAGGGGAATGGTCACGAGTGAGCCATATTGATTACTTTGAAAGAAATCACTACTTACTTTCTGTAATTGCACTGTGGATGAATGTCTCCGAGTCTCCGATGTTGTACAGAACTTAAATTATTCAAGGAAAATAAGGCAGGTCAAGCTGGTGCTACCCACTAGTTTGATTTTTTTCTGTTTTATAGTTCGTTTGCTCTGCATGGTACTTGTGAAGCTTAACTATTTTGAGTGTCATGCCGTCTTTAGAATTGTTGGAATTGTACATATGGTACTCTTTCATAATGATAAATGATTCTGAATGTCAGTGTTTTATGTTCCTATAGGAAATATTTTCAGAGAGTCCAAAAATACCACTCTGTTTGTTGATTGACTCAAACACATTTTTTGTCTCTCCTCTCTGAGGCAGTTTCCCTGGAGCTGATGAGCTCCTCTCTGAGGAGCTGAGGGGTCTTGCAGCCTCTCTGTGTAATTCTCCCACCCTGCCCCTGATTTTTTAAAGCCCTTTAGTAAAATTTGGCAGATGTTGCACCCCAGAACTGAGCTATAGCTTGCCGTGCCCAGGTCCCCAGCCCTCCCCAGGGACATTATGGTTTGAGGGTCAGGTGAGCTGCCAGCAGAGCTTGGTGTGGCCAGACTGCTGTGCGGCTTCAGCGTTCCTGTGACCCCGTCCTTCCAGAAGGCGGGGAGCTCAGAAGAAGATGCATCTCCACACCAAGCGCCCGTTGTCGAGGATGGTCCAAGTTGATGCTGTGTACGTACTTCAAGTGTTGTCAATCTGAGCTCTTAAAAAATCTCCACAGCTGAATTTTCCCCTCTAAGCCACTCCAAGTCACATCCAGGTGTGACCTGTCTCTTTGTAACCTAGGAGATACGCTCCATCCTGCTGCTGAGGGGGGACAAAGAACAACAGCAGAGTCTCAGCAGCCACATGTCCTGATGGGGACCTTGTGTGGTCGTCACATGCTGCATGGCCCTGGGGCTCAGCTACACGGACCCATCCCTCCCGCATCCAGCGCCAAGTTTTCCTGTTGCTTTGAAAAGGACCAAGCACTCCCAGCGCAGCAGCTTCGTCACGTTGGCAGGAGCCGGGTGGTCCCACACGAGGCTGACCGTGTTCTGCCCTCCTTAAGTTCTTTTCTGACACGAGGAAGACCTGGAGGCTGGCACGGTGCAGCTGTACTGAGCTGAGGAGGCACCTTTGACACTGGAGGTCCTCAGGCCTGCGGTCCCCTCATACTGGCCATCACCCCAGATATTTTCCGGTGCTGATACGTTTCCACACTCCAGCATAACCCTGGGCTGGCTCTCCAGGCCTGTGCTGGGGCTTTCTGGTGTAGATCGGGGGAACTCAGGTCCTGATGCAACATGCAGGTTGGATGTTGGCCCCAGAGTGTACATAGCAAGTTACAACCTTGGTTATCAATTGGGTTCACTCCGTGAATTTTTTTATACTTAGCAATAACTTTCCAAGGTATGGAAAGCGAGATTGAAGAGTGTCCCCCAACTCCCGGCGTGGTATGAACACGGTGCACTTCTGGGCTGTGCAGAGAGCACTGGCCCTTGTGATGTGCTTATTTTGAGGAAAAAAAATTTAACAGGGCATTAGAAGATTTTGCCAAAATTGTCATAACTCTGGATTCTTGCTAGGGGATTTCCTGAGTTTTCTCCATTTTTGCATCTGTCAGTCTTGGTTGAAGAACTGTGAGGCGATTAGACTAATTTTTCCAGATTATGGGCTTAAGAAGTTCAGATGAAATTACTCAAGTCACGCAGGTCCAAAGGATATGAGTCTTCTTATTGGTCTTACTGATATTTTGGGCCTGTACATTTTTCACTATGATTAAAGAGATTTTAACAACACAATTCCCATTTTTATTTATTTTAAGCCTATATCACTCTTCATAATTAATTGCCAAAAAAGCATTTTATACATTAAGTTGGGGGTGGGTAGTGGGATCTTAGTGTGGTGTTGCATGGAAGGGAAGATTTTATATTTATAAAAAACACGTGAGTTAACATGTTCTTTTGAAATCTCAAGCAATACACAGGAAATTTAATAACGTAGAGTAAAAATTTCAGCCCATTTTTGAAATGCGAGCATGTGCTCTGAGTTGTCCGATTCGGTTTTTTAGTTTTGTTTTTATTTTTTGTTTTGTTTTGTTTCTCACTAATAAGTTGGTTACAAGTGATGGGTTTTCAAAATGTACTCGTTCTTAATAAATTGCGCAATGAAATAAGTCAATGGCATTCTCTAGATGACGTGGGAGGTTAGAGTCCTGGTGCACTGGGAGGGTTCCTGGCCTCCTTGGGTCACAATCCAGAATTGAGCAGATTTTAATTAGTCTCACTTTGGTGGAGTTTGCATATTTTAAGTCCTATATAAAAACTAATCTTTCATTTAAAAACAATTTAATATTCAAAAGAAATACTCATGCTATCCAATGACCCTGTTATACGCCAGAGAGAGCAGTGCAGAAAAAGTGCTCCCCAGATCCTCCCCAGACGTGGCCGGTGTGTCCGGGCAAGAAGCCATTCGTCTCGAAGGTAGGGGAGCTCGGCCAGCTGAACTGGACACGGAGCATCCAGGCCCCATGACTTCTACAGAGACGGGTTTATCTAAGAAGAGTCCTTGTACTCTTGCGGCCATGAAAGGCCGTCCCAAACCTCTTCCTCTTGTTCATGTTTCCCATAGGGTTTTTGTAGAGCTAAGGACCTCCTGTGCACGTGTTGGTCCTGAGGGCCCAGAGGGAGGCAGCTCTCTCTCCTCCGAGGCTCAGCCCAGTGTCTGGAAATCCAGAAGTGAACCTGGTGTTAACATCCAAAGGTGGGCGTCTGTTGTAGGGGCTTCAAAGTGTGAGCCCTAGGAGAAGTAGCCTTCAAATAAGAATGGGTGTACACAGTTACTTCCGATTTCAGTCTCAAAAACATTGTTCCTAAACAGTGAAGGGGTTGGCTCCAGTTTTGGCTGTTAACACAGAAAATTCTCGTTAGTCTACAAATAAATTCTTAAAGATGTGTTGACTGTTGAATTACCGGCAACCTATCAAGATGAGTCTGAGCAACTGGGACACGGGCAGTTTCAGAGTTCAGGCTTGCACGGGCGTGGCTGGGTCTTGAACATGGGACCGGTGTGCGCTGTCTGCCGTATGGGGCGGGCACACGGGCCAGGGCTCCCCGCTGTACTTTTAACACGGTCAGAAGAGGTTCATGGCAATATAACAGTTAATGAACTTTCGGTTTAAATTGTGTACATTTTTAAATTGTAAGATTTTTACTGTATATTGAGGCATAGTGTGATTCAATAAATTGCTTGTAATTTAAAAACTATTTAATATTCAAAATAAATATAGTTATATATTTATAAACTCTGTGGCTGCGTTTACTCTGTGTCTGTTCCACCGTGCAAGCCCAGGGTGGGTGGCCTGGCACATCCTCACGTGGGCGCCCACAGCCCGTGGCCGCGTGTGGCCCTTTCCGTGGCAGGCCCGAGTTCCCCCGCTGCTGAAAAGGCCAAGATTTGTGTGATCACCGGTTTATGCGGTGCGGGTGCAGCCTCAGAGGGCTCCGGACCAAGAGGCCAGCCGGCCCGGCTCGGAGCCAGCCTCTCTGGGCCCACGGGCCAGCCCTTGCTGCCCGGTCCCTTCCCAGGATCCCGGCGGCCGGAGGAGGGTCGCAGCCGTCTGCCAGACCCGCGGCCAGGGAGGTGGGCCTGGCGGGAGCGCCCTCGGCCGCAGGGCAGAAGAGGAGACGCGGGCGGGCCCCCACGCCCCCGGCGGCCCCG